GAAGAAGAAGAAGAAGAAGAAGAAGAAGAAGAAGAAGAAGAAGAAGAAGAAGAAGAAGAAGAAGAAGAAGAAGAAGAAGAAGAAGAAGAAGAAGAAGAAGAAGAAGAAGAAGAAGAAGAAGAAGACTGATGATGATGATGATATGTAACACTTTGACTATTACTAATAGAGTTTAACACTTTAAACGCTACCAGTGCTGTTTAACACTTAGACCGTTATTAGTGGGTGATTGTTACCTGTGGTGGGTGGTGCATGGTGTACACGCAGACGTAGATGTTGCCAGCCGCGTGCTGAGCGCACTACAGCCGCCAGTTGTAGCGCGAACAACGCTCGTACTGTGAACGCGTCCTCACAGGAGGCACGCCAGGGCTCCACAAGCCACACATCTATGTATTTCAAGTGGCCTGACCTCCTGAATACAAACATACGGACAAAACAGCTGAGGATAGGAAGGGGAAATATTCTCTTTCTGTGAGTCCCTTCCTCCGTCAAATAATAGTAGGTAAAGCATCGGCAATTTCGAATGTCTTGGCAGAGGTTGCTTCGCTATTTCAGCGAATTTCAGTTATCGTTTGCTCGTTTTACAAATTATATTATAAATAATAATATTTAGATGGATAGATGTTTTTTAGGTTTTTTCGAAACGGATCTCGATGAAATTTGTTATAGATATAGAACATAGTCTGGAAGAACAGATAGGCTACTAATTTTTGTTTAACTGCACGCGGACAGAACTTCTGGCGCCAGCTACCTAGTCACAATAACCGATGTGTCGTTATAACCGGACTTACCGTTCTACCGCAGCCATATCCAGCATATGAAAGTGTCTGCAGAGACACACATTCTTGCCGACGCAGAGCACGTCACGTACAATACGTACGTACTCCGCAGCTGAGGGTCGTGTCTGAACCCCCCTCCAGGGGAACACCTGCTCGCCCCCCTCCAGTTCAAACTCGCATGTCTTGTATGGTGACTGAGGACTGGAGAAAAAATACTGACGATAATATAGGCTGTAGGAGCATGGCTGTGCTCCCGTAGTTTACGACCTTAACTATAGATTTAATTATTATAGATAGTAGAGTTAAATATAACTGCAACACTCAGTGAAGTGTATAAATGAACGTGAGACATTAGCACTAAGCGACTATTTAAGTAATTATTAAGCGACTAACCGTGGGTTTCTGACAACAAAATCTCTGTATAAAATATATCGTCATCGCTATCATTATATTTGACAAAACAGATATAACAGAACATTTTAAACGAGGATTCAGAAATCAGAGGAGAGTACTCAGAAATCCACAGTAAGTGCGGCAGCAAAGTTTCATTCAGACACAAAGGCTTAAAAAGTTTCTCGTGAATCATGATTTAGGAAAAGTTTAAGTACTATTAAAAGTACTATTAGATAAGTTTAAGTACTATTAGATTTAAGTCCCTTAGTGTAGATTTCTTTGAAAACAAGTCTTCTGTCTCTCTCTCTCTCTCTCTCTATAGCTCTCTCTCTTTCTTACTGACTCATCCCTTAGTCTAGACCTAACTCATAGTACACTATCACTAAGGGGAGTCACTATGAGAATGTATCTCCCGTCCCTCTCTCTCTGTGTGCATGTGTGTGAGTTTGCATGTGTATTACTAACTCTCTGAAGAAGTCAGTGTGAGGATGGTCGTCTCGGAAGCCGAGCAGCACGGTGTCGGGCTTCATGGCGCCGAGCCCCGCCAGCCGCGTGAGCTGCGCCGCGCCCTCCCGCACGCACCGCGCCAGGCACAGCTCCACGAACGCTTTCACCTGCAAGTATCATACCTAGCATCTTCATTGTACCCTCATCTCTATTTAGGGAACATTTCTGACTAAATAAATAAACAAAATAACTTGTTAGAGCCATACATGGGTGAATCAAATTACTTATACAGGGTGTCCCAAAAGGTTACGTACATAGGAAGGGGGATGATAGGGGTGGTCACAAGGGTCACCAGAAAAATAAAATAAAAATTCCCCTCTGGGTATTAAAAAAAATAAAGGGCATTTTTAAAAACTTAAAAATTTTACACCTTCTGGGGCAATTTTGTAACTAATGACCTACAAATATTGCTACATTAAAAAAAAGCTATTATGTTATCGATAATAACCCTTTATCAATATGAAAAAAAACAATACAACTAACAAAGATTTTAAAGAAAATTAAAATTGCCCCAGAAGGTGTAAAATTTTTAAGTTTTAAAAAATGCCATTTATTTTTTATAATACCCAGAGGGAAATTTTTATTTTATTTTTCTGGTGACCCTTGTGACCACACCTATCATCCCCCTTCCTATGTACGTAACCTTTTGGGACACCCTGTATATATTTTCCTAATCTTACTAATATTATAAATGCGAATGTTTAGATGGACGGATGTTCGAAGGTATCTCCCGAACGACTCAAATCAAATTTAGCATAGACTAACTGTTGCCCGCGACTTCGTCCGCGCGGTATAAAAAAAATCACAATTAGTAACAATCGATTCGTTTCAGTCGTTCTGGAGATGCGTTAAAACAAATAGACATCCATCTAAACATACGCTTTTATAATATTAGTAAGATAAGATTTAGAACATAGTACGAACATATAGAAAATTAAAAACCAAAATAAAAATTCCTTTCACCTTCAAATGGTCAATCAGCTTGAGCCAGTACTTGTGTTCCTCAGCCAGGGGGTCTCCGCTTCCGTCTAGCTCCCCAACTCTCACGTGACCGATCACAAACAAACCTCCCTGTAAACATAACAAAAGATTCTCAAATTACTTTAACTAAACCCCCTGGGGTCTATAAAACTATTTGGGGGTGGATAATGGCTGAAAATATATTTGGGTGTTCACAAGCTGACAGAGGCCAGAGAACTTAGTTTAGGCCTTATCGGTCGCTTCGCCATTTCGGCGAATTCAGGTGATTATTTGACAACTACAGGAAAATATTCACCGAAATCAATAAAATAGTGAAAAAAAGTTTGAGAAGCATTAATTTTAATGAATGTTTACCTTCTTCTGATCATTAACAAAGTCAATGAGTGGTGCGGCGTGACGCGGCGAGCTGACCAGCAGCAACATCTGCGGCCTCCAGAACTTGACGTGTTCTCTCCGAGGGTCCAGCAGCAGCAGGTACTTGCGCACCTACAACACAACACATCATAAATCTTACTAATATTATTAATGCGAATGTTTGGATGGATGGATTTGTTAGAAGGTATCTCCAGAAGTGCTCCATCTGATCTTTTTGGCATAGATGTAGAACATAGTCTAGAAGGTTAACAGTAGTAGAGCCCGCTTTAACATCTTCGCACGAATTGTCCCGACTCGCCCGGTGAAATACCACGACCGCACAGAAGACAGGCCTCAAGTGGAAGCTATTCCGCGTGCAGTCTGATGAGTGTGCGTCCCGGAGGCCTAGTTTAGTCCTCTTTCCCTTCACACTCTTTTTCTTATAAGGAAAGGATGGGAAGTGGAAGTGGACTTTCCGGGTGAGAGGATGCATGGAAAGGGAAAACATTTTTTTTCCGTGCATCCTCTCCTCCGTCACTTCGCTATTTCAGCGATTTCAGGTGGCCGCTCGCTCGTTTGCCATCTTATGATATAAAAAAAGGCTACTAATTAAGTTGTCGGCAGTCGCGGGCGACAGCTAGTACCTGATGGAATATGAGCGCCTGACTGAGGCTGCCCCACTTGGGGTCAGCTGCTGCAGGCGAGAGCAGATGCAGAGCCAGCACCAGCGCGGTGCAGGCGAGCGCCGCCCCCGCCGCGTACGTGGGCCGCAGACCGAACACCAGGCCAGCACTGCCCGCCATGCCCAGCAGTGCTGACACCCACGAGAAGTACTTGAATGATGGCCTGGGAACGGGTTTATTGTTGAAAAAAATCGAACCTTGATAAGCGAGAACTGGAGCGAGAAACTTCTATAAGTGAGAGTCATTGTCATGTCTTAACGGACGACCTCCATTAGCGAGAAACCTTTAAAAGCGAGAATCAATGTTGGTTCTGACGGACGAATTTCATAAGTGAGAGATATTCTCCGGTAGCAACAGACGCCCGCGAGAAAAACAAGAAACTTAGATTAGAGAGAAACTTGTTTAACCGAGAAAAATATCGGAGTTCCTTGGACTCTAGCTAAAATTGACAAACATATAATTTTATGAAACTTAACTTACCTAAAATTAGGAGCGGAAGCTAGATCCAGACCGAGACAGGCCAAGTTAATGGCGAAGTAACTCGTTATGAACAGTACAGAGTTCACCTGAAAAGTAAAAAAAAAAACAAAAATATTAAAATGTGACAAAACAAAATTTAATTTTAATTATTTTCTTTTGTACATAGTTTTCTTAAGTATTTTTTTAACCTAGCTATCGCCCGCGACTCTGTTCTTTCAGACTATGTTCTATATGTATGCCAAATTTCATCAAGATCTGTTCAGCCGTTCTGGAGATATCTTCAAACATCCATCCAACCAAACATTCGCATTTATAATATTAGTAAGATGTATACTAACTTGAGCGATGGCATTCAATGATCCCGCCATGATGCCAATCTGCACTAGGAGCCATGACGTCAGCACTGCCACCACGGGGTTGCCACTACGTGACACCATTGGTCGGAGGAGAAAACCTTTAATTATAAAAATCATTACAAGTTACAAAAAATAGAGTGAATAGTCACTTACTAAGCTAGCGCGTACCATCTTTCGACCAAATCTCCACTTCACCATCTTTCGACCAAATCTCCACTTCACCATCTTT